TCTCTCTCTCTCTCTCTCTCTCTCTCTCTCTCTCTCTCTCTCTCTCTCACACACACACACACACACACACACACACACGCACATACACACTTCCTTGCTTATTTATGTCTCTGGCTGTGTGTCTGTCTCCGTGTCCCTCCATGTCCCTCTCGTTTTGTCTGTATGTCTCCCTCTTGCTAGTTTCTTTTTGTGTGTGTTTTATATCTCAAGATGCATTGTCTCGCTCAATGCCCGTACCGGGAAGGAAGCTCGCACTACACCGAGACGCGGTACGGTGATATCCGTGTTCCCATACGATGTAAACTCCGCGGTAAATTGTGCAGGACTTATTTTTTCTCTCTCCCTCTCTCCTCTCCGACATGGTCGGTATGCCACTATCGTGGTACCGCCTTTTGATTATGCGATACCGTACGCACCTGTGGTTGCCGACGCTCGCAATCGCTGCGTTCGCAACCAGCACAAAACCGTACACCGCAAGGCCAACCGGACTCGTTGTCAAGGTTCCCTTTAGTATAGTACGTACTAAACGTACTTTCCAGTATTTCAGTAAGTATAAGGCCGTACTGTACTGTACTGCGGGTTTAGTACGGCTCTCGGTACTGTACTAAGCCCAATAGTGCGTTTAGTACAGCTTTCGATAATGTACTAATAGATGTACTATTGCGCTTCGTACAGCTCTCCATACTGTACTGGGGGGTTAGTACGGGTTTTCGGCCGGTACTGTACTGGACATAGTACAGTATTTGACCCACAATACTGTACTGTACTGGGGGTTTAGTCCGGCTCTCTATACTGTACTAAGCTAAATAGTACATTTAGTATAGCTTTCAATACTGTACTGTACTATGGGTTTAGTACGGCTCTCAGTACTGTACTAAGCGCAAAAGTACGTTTAGTACAGCTTTCGATACTGTACTCAAAGCAACACTACGTTTAGTACAGCTCTCCATACCATACTCAAGGAATAGTACGCGTACGCTACAGTACTACTCTCAGTACTACAGCTGTACTACCGGTTCTCCCCGACTTTCACCAAAGGGCGTGTTGATGACGTCATTCCTCGGCAGAAAGCTGTACAGTCTCGTCATACAGTCCCGCTCCTGCTCCGAGCAGCGTGTACTACGTTTATGTTCATGTTCAACTGAGAGCGCTGTTGCAGGTGCTTCATGCATATGCATACTCATATTGCAAGTACGGCTCTCGGTACTGTACTAGGCGCAAGGGTACGTTTAGTAGGGCTCTCCATAGTGTACTAAATGAGGGCAATATACAGTTTTCCATACTGCGTGGAAGTGCTACCGCCGGAACAGTGCTTCGATGTTCGACAGGCGACGGGCCGACCGCCAGCTCAAGATCCAGCTACTCCAGGCTGAAGTGGTGGAGACTCTCCTATATGGGTACGCCTCGTGAAGCCTAACAGCGAAGCACTACACGAAGCTCAATGGGACCCACCGCCAGTTCCTTACACGGTGCATCGGCTGGAGCAAGCGGAAACGCTCAGACCGCCCCCTGTCCTTTGCCCAGGCCCTCATCCAGGCAGACTGCGAGGAAACCATCGAGGCCACCGTGCGCAAACGGAGACTCTGTTTCGCGGGCTTTGTTATGCGCATGGAGGACAACCGCCTCCCCAAGCGTNGGCGGCATGGCTCATGAGGAAATGGCACAGGCAGGAGGCGGAAGCGTCGCGAGGCGCCAGCGCGCGAGGGAAGCTGGAGCAGAGAGTACGGCCATCTCAGGAACGAAGAGAAAGAGAGTCGGGGAAGCGGCGGTGGGGGGGAAGAAACGGCGACCGGGCAC